CCAAGCATGTTTAAAAGAAGAAAAATCATGCTTTTGAAATTCTTAATGGGCATTGCTGCTCCTTGTCATAAACAATGAAGATGACGCTGTTAGTCTTGCTTCCGGAGCAGCCTGAAAGATTTGACAATAACTTAGATAGCTTTTTGGAGCTGTATAGTTTAAGTTCTCTGCTATAGGTATCTATATCACCTGTACATAAAATTTTATTTTTCTAATTTTTAAATATATTATTGGCCCTTTATAGTTTGCTTGTAGAAGACATTATGTTTTGATTTAACAAATATCTCCTCCTCAACTTCACGCATGAAGTGATCCCATTTCTTTCCTCCCAGTCTCTTTCTCTGATCACAGGTACTTCAATGGTTTTCAGACACATTTCGATGTTTCTTGCCCAAGATGACTCTGCATTATTCTACGGGTGACAAGAGACCCATCTCACTCTCTCAGTCCCTATTACATGACAGTGACCTTGCTACTTCTTTCCTTTGCTCTTCCCATACCTCCCCTCACAGCTATCAGCCCCCTTTTCTGGTGAACTGCCTAACTGCGTTAACATAATTGTTCAACATTGAGCAGTTGTACTCCATTTGAAGATTTCTTCATGTCTGAAACACATTTGGCAGAGATCCACGCTGCTGGTCTAATAAATGATGGTGCTTCTCCTTGCAGCCTTGCCTTGCTTATGTCCTTTGACCAACACAGCTGTAACAAAATTGGTCCTGTTTTGTCTTTTTCTAGTTAAACTGTAAACTCCAGAGATGTCTCTTGTGATGTCTGTTGGAGCAGAATCTGCCTTAATACTTTAAACACTGCCTCTTTTATCCATCTCTGTTTCATACAAGCGGGTTTTTTTTAGGCAGAAACCATAGGGTCTGAGTTCGGATAAATTTGAATGTAAATACGCATTGACTTCGCTTATATGTCAGGATCAGTATGTTGTTAAATTGGATGTTATAAATGGTATCAGGCAGCTTTCTTCCTTCAGCCCTGTTTGACTGAGGACTCTGATCTCCACAATCCTTGGATTTTTTAATCTGAGCAGATTTGTAAATGCACAAAATGTTTGGGTTGGAGAAGGTCTTTTAAATAACTTGGCTCATACTATGTAAAGTAGTTTTAATAATGAGACTGAATCCTCTGTCACTCAAAAATACAGAAGCCTTTATTTTCTGGAGTATAATACAGTAAATAAAGACAAAGAAATTCTGGTGAATAAATTAACCTTCAAAATTGTCAGGCTTGGTGAACTGCACCTGGAAAGCTGAAGAGATAACTTGTACATCATTCCTTAGGAAGAGCAGGGCTTGGTTGCTAATGCTATTCTGAACACTGAAATACACTTTCTAGTAGCATGCAGGCTGTATGTTTGATTTGTTTATTCTTGAGTTGGTGATGTTAAGTACTGTCTTCTCTGCACTGTGAAACAAAGAGAGCATGAAATTGTGTCACGTATTAAATATGCTATTTTTTTTCTTCTTGGGAGTCATTTTTATAGTTTGAGATACATATAGTGAAAATGGGGGGTAGGCAATTTAGAAGAGAGTTTGACTCAAAATCCTAAAGAAAAAGGTTTTCCTTCAAATATACAAGAAAAGATCAGAATACTGAAGACTTTTATTCTCATTAGATCTATATCTAGCACATGAGTTGGCATAGCATTTGGCAGGATTAAAGCTATTAAAGTGTTGCCAGCAAAGGGTGATCTTAGGATGAGTTTATGTCAGGAAAATGAAAGGGCAGGTTTGACTAAAGATTTTTTTTTGTTGTTTTTACTATATTATTTTAATTAGCTCGGGCCTGTTGTTTGACTAAGCTGATAAACAGAAATGAAGTAAAACATAATACTTTTTCTACCTGTCTAGGTAGTTTAAATGTAGTTAGTGGCAGGGAACTCATCTGGTAGATAAGTTTGTGGTAGGGGTAATTTTCCTTGGTTTACTGGGAGTTTTTAAAGTAAAATATGATCTAGCTTTAGAGCAGGGAAGAAACTAACAAATGAGTTTTGTGGGAGGGAAGCATATTTTTTAATAGCCTTTCAGTCAGAGCATCTGGTTGGAAAATATTTTGGGTATGATGTTCCAAAAATGAAGGCAACAACAATATACTTTTTATAACCATTGCTCTGACAACTCTGCATTCTTCTAACTCAAGTCCTTATGAATTAGAAAATTAAACATAATGCTTGATGGTGTCATTGTAAAAATGTTCTCTTTGGACTGCAGTTATAAGTTTAAGTCAAAGATGTTTCAATCATAATTCTGAACATTGGACAGTAAAAAATCAGCATGTATGTTTGCTATGCCATGATCTGTATATTGCATGGCTTAATAGTTAGATTTGAAACTCTTTCAGTTCTACAGGCAAAGAGGGAAATGTTAAATTTGTGCTGCAATTGCTGGTAAACTACTACAGATATTTAACGTGTTGATACTTAAACCTTTGAAGAGGAGAGTAGTTGCTGTACTGAAGAGAGCAACCTCTTAGTTGAAACACACATTGGCACTACTTGTGTACTTTCAGCTAGGAATAAATAGCTTGTAAGTCTATAGCTAGCTATATATATTTGTAGCCAAATATTTATAGTTTAAGTATTTTTATGAGGTACAAGAAAGGCCAGTTACAATTTATTTTTCGAGGACTGGCAGACTTTCCTGTAGTCCTCAAAAATTTCAATGCTCAAGAAATATATTTAAATTTAAGCAGTAACTCATAAAAGATAGACATTGAAATCTTGACCCTGCTGTTCAGAGATTTCTGTGGAATCAGAGGGACTGATTGTGTTACATGGCTATTTTTACTTGTTGTTTTCTTTGATGTATTTGTGAAGGACACGCATTTATATATGCATGTAATAAAATTCAGATAACTGATACCATAATATTGGGCTCTTCATTGAAATTCAGTTTCTTCTTTGACTCAAATAGCAGTAACAAGTAGGCCAGAGAAGTTCGAAGAGGTGCCTTTGATCTTCCTAGTTTCATGAGGAACAGTTACAGGGCACCTGCTCTCCCTACAGAGGCTGCCTTTTCTTCAGACCTGTGCACTGTCCAGAGCAGGTTTTTTGTGTGTGCAAAAGACAGACGTGCTTCTCTGAAAGACTAGTGGTATAGCAAGTGTTCTCCTGGTTATAATGCACCATCAACACCTCTGGAAGTTTCTTTTTTTGGGTATCAAGTCTGTCAGTCAGGCTTCTGCCTGCTGTAGGTCAGTGGGTGGCAGCAAAGGATGGGAATCAATTATTTGGGGTGGGTTTTTTGGGATGCATTACTGTGATACTTCTACATGTGGATAGTGCCTATTCATGTATTTGAAACAAGATTTGTGTTTCTGGTGAGTATTTCTGTTCAAAACAAAAAAGGCTGAGCTAAGGAATGTGCGTTGTATTATATGTTTAACTGTATTTTTCCTGCTGTTAAGTAGCCAGGCTATGAAAAAGGGGGAAAATTGGACGTAAGAAATTCAAGACATGTTTGCCTTTTGGAATTTTATCTCTGCCATATTTCCTGGCCCTGACTTAGTATCTTTGCATGATGTACTTTATGGACTTAATAGGACATGCAAAGCACTAGCTTAAAACTGCTTTGGTCCTTTGGGCTTCCAGTAATGAAAAATTTCAAAGCAACTTTGAAAAGGTCTGTCTGACAAAGTACATCTGTGTAAATGTTGGGATAAACCCTGTCTGGCAATATCGAGGTAATCCACCATGAGTCTTAATGGAGAAGAATAGTTGAGATGACATTCCCCTTCACCTCAAATTTGTGCAAAAAAATTCTCTTGAACCTTCTACATTACAAGGAGCTGGAAGAGAGGTATTCTGCGTGTACAGCGTGGGAACAAAGATACTTTGATTTTATTCTGTAGACTCAATTCTTTCACAAAATCATGAAGTAAATGGATACATTGGTGTTCACACCCACTTATATCAGCAATGTCCAATGTTAAACACTTATTGTTGGTAATAAATGCCCATCTGTTTAAGATTTTAGTAGTCTCCTGGGCAGACTGTGCAAAAAAAGGATGAAATCACTTTGAATATATTTTCTCTTTTTTTGTTGTTTTGCCTACTTTGACAAGAGGCTTTAAATCCCTACAGTTCAGGTTGTCTAGAATTCAACATTTTCATATCTTTATAAAAAGTATACGTGCAAAGGTGAATTGTTTAAATGAAATGTGGCTTTATACATATGATAATGCAATTGAGTTAATTTATACGTTTTATGTATAAACAATCTATTTGTTCAGATAATCTATTACAAAACTGAATATTTACAAAAGTACTGAGCAGCGGTCTTTCAGTTATTTATAAAGAAGCTACTGTTTTAAGCAAGAGTCCTACTTATTTCTCATAATGGCGATTGTAGGCGGGTTAAAGGTAAAAGGGAAGCAGAAACACTAAGCCTGCTTGCAAACATCACTCAATCCTAGGAATGATGTCAGCTGAAATACTCGGTATGAACTGGTATCACCAGCCTTACTTTAACTGTTGTGTAGTCTCCTTTTCCCAGGCAGAACCAGTCTTTAAGCTTGCTTGCACTAAAGGGCTTTGTTGAAAGATCTTTTCTAATTGAAGTTGAGGAACATGCCTGGCCTGAAGATAGTCCTGATCTTCCATGGTTATATCCAAACTGGGACACAAATATACATCCCTCTTGTGAATCTGAAGGCTTCAAAGGCTGCAAGTATTGCCCTTCAGGTGCAGTCAGAGTTCATCGCTCTTTAACTGTTACTTAAGACATGGTGCAGTATGTTTCTGTGATGAAAGGAACATGTATACAATGTAAAATAATGTTAGAGAACCTTTCACTGCGTGTGATACCTATGTGATGTATTTGAATATCTGGGTCTTTTGTATCATGCTGGTGATTATTTGGTATCTGCCAATCAGAGCAGCTCCTATCTTGCATTTATTATTTTAATATTGAATATTGATGTCACCGGTTAATATTTCTGAAACTTGTGTGGACTAAACGTCATTTCTCTTCTTCATTCTGTATTTCTAGTCTGGGACTGTGAAGCTGACCAAGCCTGTGGCATTATGGACCCAGCAGGATGTCTGCAAATGGCTGAAGAAACATTGCCCTAATCAGTATCAAATCTACAGTGAGTCATTCAAACAGCATGACATAACTGGTAAAGTATGCACTATCAGAAATATTTTACTTACTTAAAATGTGACAAATTGGTTTACTTTATTGTTAATGGACTGTGACTGTGCACTGAAGGCTTTTTGTTGATTGTATGACTAGAGAGTTGTAAGGTTTAGAGCAAGAGGAATATACCAGCTTTCATAGGATGTGGTAAGTGATTTCTCTATCTTCCTAAAAGATAAGTTTCAGATTATTCAGGGTTAATATAATGAGGAAAGGAGTCAGTCTGTGCATAAGGGCCACATTCTGTTCATTCCAAACAAATAAAAAAACCCCTAAACATTAAGAAATGTCCTACAAGGAAAAATGTAAATGAGGTTTTTTTCATTGAGATGTTTCACCTTGAGTTCTTATTCTTTTTTGCCTTTTATTTATTTATTTTTTTAGTTAAACTTATGAGTCCTTACCATGTAGAATGGGAAGCAAGCCCAACTGAGCTCCTCCCTAGGGCTGAAGCAGGATCAATAGAGCACATTCATTTCTGACAGATGTTTGTCTAATTTTCTTCTGGAAAATTTGCAGTGGAGGAGATTTTTACATCTCTCTATTCCAGTGTTTTATGGTCCTTAAATTTGGTATTTTCCTAGTATCAATCTAAATTATTATTTCCAGTCAGTGGAGCTGATTTCTGTCTCAAGTGTAGCTCAAGTGCAATCATTCTTTCTTGCAGTGTTTCCTTTATTGGATAGCAGGCTTCCTACTTGCACATACTTTCCCTGTCTAGTCTAAAAAATATTAATTTGTTCTGTCATGGTTTCTCCCCCAAATACCTGCAGGACCTACAAGCCTTCAACTCTTGGTGTCTTGTCTTAGAAGAATATATTAAAAATCATAATTGTATTTTATTTTCCTATTTAGAAGTTGATATTGATTTTGTTGATCTGCTCAACTTGTTAACTCCTACTCAGTTTGCTGTAGTGGTATTTTAGTTGACCACTTTGAACTGACATCAGTTTAGCAGAGTAGCTGGATTAATATAAATACAGATGTAATTTGGGACTTAGATAGCATTTTTACTCATATCCCAGACAAGAATTAATCTGTAAAAAGTTTTATGTGGAGCACAAATTTGTTCTCTGACATGGTGGTATACAGAACTGATAACTGGCAATCAGCCCTTTAATATCAGAGATTTGAGTTTCACATACAAATCTCAGTATTATCAATCATGCATTGTTAATTAATGTATGTTTCAATCAGTGTCTGTTCATATATGTATACCTGTGGTGTTTCAAATTTTACATTGATTCCCGTTGCTATTATTTCATTTCTGATAATATATGAATGATTTTAAACATGGCAAACTAAACTACCAATATTTGTTTACTGTGTAGCCATGAATATGCATACACACTTATATGTGAGAGGTGTTTTGTATTGGTTTGGTAAGTGTTGAGTTTTAGTACTTAACCATTGTGCCCATTTCATCTAAGTCATCATCTGTTGAATGCAGTCCGTAGGAATGTAGTCTGTGTTTCCACCCATCTGTACAGAGCTGACTGCATCCAGAAAAAATTGAAGCTATTTTAAAATCTTTTCTAGTACCATTTTTCGGTTATACGGTCTCTTTTTAGAATTAAGGCACTATGAAATGAAGTGGAAAGGAAGAAAAAGTTGTTTTAATTTGATCATAAACATAGATGGAAACCTTGTAGTTTCCTTGCAGATGTGCAAACTTCGAACTTTATAGACCTCTGTGAAAAGAAGAATCAAGATCAGTCCTTCTTACTTTACACAAAAGAGGTATAAGGAAAATATTAGTACGAGTGTTAGAAAGTAAGTCTGCAGGAAAGAAAATAACTTCAATTCAGTAAGTACCAAAGAAAAGAAGAAATGTGATCAATGTTTGTAAGGATTTAATAAAAGTATATTGTGATAATATTATGAGTGAAATCAATAACTCAGGAGGATATTTCCAGTACTGTTGGTCCCTGTGACTCCAATTATTTGAAATCTAATAAGGGAATAGAACAGTGGATTTGTGGCTCAAAAAAAAGTAGAGCATGAAAGGAGCATGGAAACTAATGTGAAGATTAAGCCAAGGTAGTGTAACTGTTTCCAGATATGGCTATGGAAAAGTAATGTGATTGTTGAAAATTTCTCAGGAATTAAAGTGACTTTACAGGCTGCTTTGATATGGAAAAATACAATGGAAAAGAAGAAAATGACATGAAAAGGATATTTAAACTTTATTTGAAGATAAAATCTAATGCATGGTCATAAGCCAGGAAAATAGTCTTGGGCAAACATATCTAACAGTTAACCATAGGTGTTGAAAAGTGTGGCATTTTACTTGGGACTATTAGTTGCTGATTACAGTTTATTGAGTTGGGGGAAAAAACGCAACCCAAAATCTTTGTGGAGATTTTATACCTTTATATTACTCCTAACAAAAGGCAGCTGCAGATGTATAAGAAAAAAATATTTATTCTGGTCATTTACCTAGTAAGAAAAAAGATCTTCATATTGACAGTGATCTTGAGGATGCCATGGGACGGAGTATATGTACTCTCATCAGATTTGCAGATGACACTAAATTGGGGTTAACAGTCAATAGACTTCAAGAGTAGGGCTGCCGTACATAGGGACCAGACATAGGCTGGAGGAATGTGTCAGCAGGAACCCTATGAAATTCAGGAATGACAAATGCAGAGTTCTGCAGCTGGGAAGGTCAAGCACCTTGCACCCCATTCAGCCTGGGGCTGGCTGGCTGGGTAGCGGTTTTGGTGAAGACCACCTGTGCTCTTGATAGTCAGGAAGATGAGATGAACCAGTGTTGTGCCTTGGCAGCAAAGAATGCTAACAGAATCATGGCAGTATTAACAGGAGCATAGTGAGCTCATCAGGGATAGTCATTATTCCCCTTTACTTTGTGCTTTGTAGACTCTAGTTCTGGGATCTCCAGTGCTGGAACTTGCACTCCAATGCAAGTTCAGGTGAGGGCCACCAAGATGCTCAGGGTGGAAGCACTAACCCTGTGAGCAGGGAATTGAGGAAACTGGGCCTGTTCAGCTTGGGGAAGAGGCAGCTTGCTGGGGTGGGATGGGGGGACTATTAGCAGCCCCCAGTGTGTAGAAGAATGTTATCAAAAAGAGGGAGCCAGTCTTTTCACAGTCATGTATGAGAGACACTAGACTTTAGCTGAAACAAGAGGCTGAGGCTGAACTTAAGGAGAAACTTCTTCCCCGTGAGAACTGTTGTGCATTGGGACAGATTTCTCAGGTTGCGGAGTCTCTGTCCTGGGAAGGTTTCAAGCCCCAGCTAGACAAAACTTTGAGAAACCTGATCTGATCTCATAGCTGACACTGCTTTGAGAAGGAGGTTGGGCTAGAAAGCTGCAGGGGCCTCTTCCAACCTGAATTTTTCTGTGGTCCTGTGATTTGCTGAGTACTTACTCAGTACCTCAGAACTGGTAAAATGCATTTTGCATCCAATGAGGGAGAATTAAATATGGAAAGGTCTAATAAGAAATTGAGAGATTTCTTTTATACACAGAATCCTTGAGTTCAGGGAGTGGAGCCTTTGGTTAAATTGACTTATTCAGCAACAGGTCAGAGGTCATTTTTGTGGTGTTGGACCCAGAGCCAGAACCAAAAAAATTTGAAAGACTAACACTGAGCAAGATCTAAGGGCCCCCGATAGGAATTAGCAATGGTAGGAAAAATAAGACAATAAAAAGGGGGGAACAAAGATGACAGTGGTCTGTACAACCAAGGAAGGAATGTAATGTTAGGGCCATGCCACTGGAGGAGGCTCTACAACTGGTGTTTGCATTTACACCACTGTGAGGGGGCATAAGTTGCTCTGACTGGCCAGCTTTTTACACTCATTTTATACCCGTATAATCCAGGAGGCAAACCTGAGAACTGGACCTTGCTTTCAGTGTGCATTTGTGGCTTTGAATTTGCCAGGCAGCAATACTTTTAAATGACTAGGGAGTTCTTGAGAGATAAGCTGTTCTTTGGCAGTCTTATCCTGTACCATTGAAACAAATGCAGTTTTTTGCAATATCTCAGCATTGACAGGAGCAAGGCTGGGCATAGAATGACTAAGGAATAACCGTTTTGGGGAGAATGGTCCATTGACAAAGTAATAAAAATGATGTTTAAGTAACTTATTGATGTGTGATTTTTTGAAAAAAAGGAAGGAAGGAAACCCTGTTTCATCTCTTGTTTTTATGCCATGTTCCCCAGTGTGCTAATGCATGTCTTCAGAGCATGAGGTTTTAATGCTATGATCATTAAATAAACCTCATTCTGTCAAAGTAATACCCAAGAGATACCTTGGTCCAAGTGACGGAATTTGATAGGAGATACTTGAAAGGACTCAAGCCTTTTTAAATTAAACTTTTAAAGAGGAAAGGAACAGGACTCAAGAAAACCTCTTTAGTTTTAGAAGGGACCAGAACTTATGAATATGCATTAAATACCAAACGGCACCTTGGAAAATGAAAACCTGCTGCAAAAAGCCAGAAAAACTGGCTAATTCTATAACCTCTAAAGATGCTTATGTTAAATCAGCTATATTGACATATATTTTTATGAAATTAATAGAAAATCTTGCTTTTAAAGTCTGATTTGATTTATTTTTGTCACTTCAATAATATCTGTGCAAATGTTAGAGTTTTATCATATCATCTGAAATACTCAAGTTGTTTAGCATGCTGGTAAAGGGATGGTCTTGTGGTTTAAGATACCACACTGGAATTTGGAGAAATCTTGGATCCATTTCAGGTTACTCTGGTATTCTTCGGAAGCACACTAAATCCTAAGGGTCTAAGTTACTCTCTCTGTACAGAGGAAGGTCTTCTTTTTCTTATCAAAGTGTTGGCAGATATCTTTCTGATTTCCAGGACATATATTGTTTAATTATGCCCTTTGTTTCATGGAACTCAGCCGAATTTTGTGCTGCAACCAATGAACTGACCTGAGGACAAGAGATGTGTAGTAGAGCACAGGAGGCCTGCTTCTCATTCCTACCTCT